TTTTATGTGCTGTAATAGTTAAATTAAAATATTATCTAAAATTCCAAACAGTAAGTAATTTAATTTATTGAAAAGAAATGTAGGTAGCACTATTTTAGAATTTGTACAGAAATCAAAACCTTCTGTAACTATAAACAAATTTTTTTAAAGTGATAAAATGGATGACTCATTACCAGCTATTTTAGCTAGGATAACTGCATGTGATGGTTTATAATTTGACATTGTCTGCACGTCAAATGATATCAGAAAAGGCTTAATAGCCAGATGTTTTTCTAACATACCAAAGGATCACAAAACAATTTACAAAGTGATCTTGAATTACAATAGAAATATACGAGACCAAGTAATTAAAGATTTATCAGCAGAATGAGCAGAATTGCTAATGGAAACAGATTTAACTTTTGATAAATGAACATCAGTAAGAAATAGACGTTGCATAAATATGTAACATCTATTTGGCAAATGATTATGGGATTGATATTGGGACAAAAGATTTCATAAACATGAAGAACAAAGGTCCTACGAAACACTGCTCATGGGGAATTTGCTGATCAGAATATAGATATACTAATATATTAGCTCCAGAAACATTTTTTATCATGTTTCCTAAACCTGGAAATATTTAAGAGAAAAATGAATGACTGGCAAAAACAGCAAGATTGAATGAAAACTTTAAAATCAAAAGCATGGCTTCTTGTATCAGACCTCTAATGACTTTTAAATAGCATTAATAATAAACTTAATAGAAATAACAGCAACCTATTGCAATAAATATAAATAACAGCGATCCTATTACGATAAATTACAGTGACCTATTATGATAAATATATTCTATGAGCAAAAGAAGAAGCACTGGTTCTTTAAAATTAAATCAATTCTCATGAGAAGTGTAACCCTGTGTTTTCTGCATCCATTCTCAATAATCCAAGAAAAAGTTCATTTTTCATTGAACCAAATTAGTTTAATGCAATATTTGATTTTATTGGTCAGCAAAATATGAATTAAGGTACTAGAAATCCGCAAACAAAAATATTAGACAAAAAAAACCAAAACCATTTGTTTTGAACATTAAAGAACAACTTGTTTAAAACTTTGATGTGGTAACATAACATAGTCACTTTATCTCATATGTATTGTGTCAGTAAGTCTTACATATGTACAGTGATACAGTGTTTTAAAGTATTTTAAATACCTACTTTAAATACTTTTACTTTTGCATTTCAAATACTTTTTATTTTAAAAGTGTTTTATGTTTTCAGTGTTTTACAAAATAAAAAATACTTTTTAATTTTAACATTTAAAATTTTTTCAGCTGATAAAATATAAAGGATAGCTGATTATATCAGGTAACCAATAAAGTTCGTGCAGTTTTGCAGGTCCATAATTAAATACACAAAAAAACGGTTTTAGTAAAGTTTATTTTGAAAAATAGTCTCCTTCAGCAGGAATGACTTTCTTCCATCGTGAAACAAACTTGTATATTCCATTTTTATAAAAGTCTTGAGTTTGGGAGCTAAAAATTGATTTAACTCATTTTCGAGATCTTCTCTATTTTGAAACTGTCAATTCCTCATATGATTATCCAGGGTCAAAAGCAGGTGATAGTCGCTTGGGGCAAGGTCTGGTGAATACGGAGGGTGAGGTAGAATTTCCAATTTTTTTTTTTTTTTTTTTTTTTGTTATTCACCTCCTCAAGGCCTAAAAGGCCACTGCAGACGAGTAGGCTACTTAATAGTGGGTATAACCCTCTCTCAACTCTATAACTCCGAAACACAAACCTTGACGAACAAGGAGAAACAAGTTGAGAAACAAGTTAAGCGCAGTACTACCAGGGACATGGTGAGTATTGAACTTGGAACCTCTCGCTTATGAAGCGAGTGTTTTACCACTATACCACTACCGCATAAATTAACATGCTAGAGTTTCCCGCATGATTTTTGCGGTGTGCGGTCTGGTGTTGAAGAAAATTTTTTGAACCACTTTTGACCCATCTGTTCTGCTATGGTACCTTCCCCAAAAGCAGTGCATATCTTACGATAAGCTTCTGCAGCTTTGGTGCCAAGTTTAAACTCATAAAGTAAAAATGCGTGAGTTATCGCATTTGACACAGCCATACTCAACTTAAGAATTTTAAATTTAAATCGCACTAATAAAACTTATGAAACACACTGATTAATTCTCCTTGAAACAAGTTTTAATTTATAAACAAAATTATCTCCCTACCACAACCATTATCTTACAATATTTTTGTTAGTAAATAGGAATTGGGAAAAACCGCACGAACTTTATTGGTTACTTGATATATACAAGTATATTGATAATATATCTAGAAAAATGGATTTAGAAAATAATAATAGAAATTGAGATTCAGCCGCCTTCTGACCCTGGAATCATAAGTTTAAAATCAAGAACACCAGGGTCTTTCTTCAATTCTATATGGGCGTTATTTTAAAATTTCCAAATTTGTTGATGAAAAAAAAAGTGTTGGCTAAATGTAAAAGCTGTCCAAACAAATTCTTATCAGCACAAAGTGACTCAACTTCAAAGCTGTTAAAGCATCTAAAGGTATTTACTATTATCTAAAGGTTAATTGTTTATCTACTTTTATATAATTATTATTACCATTATTATAATTACTATAATAGATTGAATGCTAAAATATTTAAATTAACATAACAGACTTTAAATTAACTTTGCATAATTATTTTAGTACTACAATTGAATATTTTTTATGAATAAAAAAAAATATATTGTATAACAGAAATCATTGAAAAATTAAAAATATCTAATTGTCATTGATTTAATAAAAAGTTGAACTTATTGAAACATTTGAAAGAGATTAACTATTTAATTATATTTCAGAAAAATGCATGTAAAAATAAGACATTTTTACTTTATTTCCTTTTTTTTAATTTTGTGCAGTTACAATTACTTTAGCGATATAGAAATATTTTTTCCACTTTATGTAAAAATTTTATCTTTTAAAAACAATTAAAAAAAAAGTGTTTATTGAGTTATATCTTGTGATATTAAAATAATAGAGTTTTATTTCCCTTTTGTAATTTTGAGAGAGTAATTTTGTAATTTAAGAGAACAAAATTTGTTCTCTTAAATTATTAAGATTAAAAAACAAAATTTGTTAAATTAGAAGATTAAAAATTTAATTATTTAAATTGAATGTTTAGAGACTGCATTTATTATTTATTAAGTAATATAGATTAGTACACAAATAAATAGCATACCGTGACATAAGAATTATTAATTGTATTTTTAATTTGATAACTTAAATAAATTAATCTTTATATTTATATTTATATGCTTCTTAAAATTGTTTGTTTTCTTTAATTCCAACTTTATTTAATGAAATTAAAATTAACAATTAATACTAAAAACAAACAATTTTAAAAACTATGAGATTATAAAACATAAATAACAATCATGTCAAATCAGCCATTTGCAAAATGTACGCATATGACACAAAGCACATGAAATTTGTCAAAAATGATGAAGACCGAGCAAGTTTACAATCCGATCTAGACGAGATTGTTAAATGGATGCAAACCTCACTGATGGAATAAAATGTAACAAAATGTAAAGTCATGTATGTTAACTCTGGAACAACAAAATTTGATTACTTTATGGATGAAATTAAAAATGCGGCACAACCAATAGAGTAGTTTTAGAAATCAAAATTCCAAAAAAGATCTCGGAATTCTAATATTTGAGAATCTTTAAAATGCCCAACAGTGAAATATAGCTGCAAACAAAGCAAATAACATGCTCGGCATTCTTAAACACAAATTCATATTAAGAGACATTGACATTTGGTGAAAAAATTTATACT